AATTCGGTATATATTAAATATAATTGAAATTAGATAAGAAAGATGCAGTGTCTGTATGGGCAAGATTTCTTTAGGGAAAAGAATTTCATTTTTATCTCTTATTATCTATCATTTTAATGGTGAAAGCACCATATTTTATTCAGACTACAGGATAGTCTTTAGGCCGCTATATTGCTAATTTAGCTCTTAATGATCATTTTAATGTTAATTTAACTCTTAATGATCATCTCTGTGGTTCATGAGGTAACTATAATTTTATGTTCAAAATAATTAACAAACTTAGAGCAAATTGAAATATTTTCTCACCTAAAAGTACTAATCCAGTGTATCAGTCAGGATTCAATCAAATGGAATGAATCAGTAGGAGGTATATATTAAAAGATTTATTGCAAGGGATTGACTTTTATGATTGCGGGGACTCACTGGGCAAATCCAAAATGTATAGGGTAATTTGTCAAGAAGGGTAGCTGCAACTCTTGGGCAGGAGCCAAAGCTACTCTTGACAAGTAGAAATTTTCTTCTTTAAGGAGACCCCACTTCAATTCTGAAGACCTTTCAACTGACTGAATCAGGACAACCCAGAATATCTGGGATAACCTCCTTAAAGTACTTACTTATGTGTCTTAATCATATCTACAAAATACCTCCCAGTGACAATGAGACTAGTGTTTGATTTAATTACTTCTTGGTAACCCAGTTACCAAGAAGACACATGAAATCACATCTATCACAGACCGGCATCTCCCAATCCTTAAGTATTCATCTAATTTTTTAAATGTAAATGTAAGACTTTATATTTATGCCTATTAAACATGATTGTATTCACTTTGGGCTATTACTCCAATATATTGATTACATCAATCATTTTATTAGTCATTCTTTTTATTTTCTATTTTCTTACATTGTTCATTTATTCTTTCCTAATTTTCTGTCACTCAAAATTTGACAAGCAAGATTTCTAATTTTTATACAAGTCCTTGTTAGAGAAATTAGTAAATCAGGGTCTAGTTTAGAGTCCAAAGCCCACAATAATTCACCATGAAACTCTAGAGTTCTATTCACCTACTGAACAACTAGATATGAATATGTAAGATACTGAAAAAATAAAATTTTACTTACTAGATTGCCTTGTACAGTGTACTGTCCTTGTTTGAGAAAAATTTTTAAAAGCATTTGACCTCCAATCCCACATGGAAGATTGGTGTTGATTCCAAGTATTCAAGGATGAGGAAAAAAATTGCACTACAAACCCACGGAAAGAAATTTTGTCATTTTCTTTTTATAAACATGAGGAGAAAAGAGAATAGGAGAAGAAATATAGACATAATGTATATAAAAAGTCAGAAAGATGGTGACTGGCTGTGCTATATAGAGAAACCAGTAAAACTTCCAAGTTTCTAGTACCCAACTTGTTTTTAAATCTGTGATACCGAAAATGACTGTTAAAGTTTTTTTTTTTTTTTTTTTTGGTTCTTGGAATTAATCATCTTCTCATTCTGCCCTATGAAATCTATAGAATCTACATTCCTCATAAATGCTTTATAATAGTGAATATTCATTTGATACAACTCAAATAGATGTTGAGTTTCACTGTGAGTCAATGTGAGACAGTCCAGAAACAGTACATATGGAATCAGAAAAAAGTCAAAGGAGCTATGGAAAAGTAACATTACCTACAGGGGCATTTGAATTTCACAGCCTTTGGAACGAACAAGGAATATGGGTTATACATGGTTACTGAGCTGGCTAAAAACCTTATTAAACTCTTTTCTCATTCAGTTCATATTCCAACATTTTGCACAAAGGATATCATAAAAGATAGTGTGTAGATGTTCTATATTAATGCTATTCCCTAGACCTTCCAATCCTTTAGAAAAAGGAAATTAGATTTAACCTACCATTCTCAAAAATGCTTCCTAATTCATAATAATCACCTCCTTAACCCAAGGCTCACAAGTCATGTATAATAATCTGTTCTAGATGAGAGTAAGAGAGAAAATTAAGAAGAAATTAATTAAAGCCTCTTAATTAAAAATTAAACATCAAGCTGTTTCTAAATATAAATATATTACTCTACACCTTGAAAACAGAGGAACTATTTACCCATGTTCAGTCCTTTTCCATTTGCCCTATTATCTGTAATTTCTCAAATGTAACAAATAGTACTCATACTCCCATTACTTAAAGGCAGTATAGGTCCCTGGCATTGTATCTGTCATATAGTTAAAATTAATAAATATTGGACCTTCCCTGGTGGCACAGTGGTTGATTGCTGGGCTACGAAGCTGCCCGCAGCCTCTGCAGTGCTGGTTCGATCCCCAGCCACCGGACAAGGGTCCCACATGGTGTGCAGACCTCTCCTGCCATGCCCGCTGCTGCCCTCAGCAATGTATTTCATCAGTCTGCCTGTTCTGTTCCCCGTTCTGGCTCTGGTGAATTCTCTCACCCTCCTGTACTTCTGACTGTACCCAGTGCTTGTGTAAATAAATAAATAAATAAATGTGTTTTAAAAAATTAATAAATATTTGCCAAATTAAACTGAGTTAAATCCTTTCTACATCAAGTTAAGCTAGAGCAATTAGGCAAGAGAAAGTTATAAAATGAATTCAAGTTGGAAAGAAGAAATAAAATTATCACTCTTTGCAGATGACATGGTAATATACATAGAAAACCATAAACATCCCTTTAAAAATTATTAGAAATAATAAATCAATAAAGTACCAGACTATATAATCAATATACAAAAATCTATTATATCCCTATATGAAAACAATGAACTAGAAGAGAAAGTAATTGAGAAAACAATCACATTCACTGTCATATTATATCAAAAAGAATAAATACTTAGGAATAAGCTTAATGAAATAAGTAGAAGACATTAACAATGAAAAACAGAAGACATTGTTAAAGGAAATAGAAGGTGCAAAGGAATGGAAAGAAGATAGTCCCTACTCATGGCTTGAAAAAAATCAACATTGTTAGAACGGCCATCTTATCCAAAGCAATATACAGATTCAATGCTATTCCTATCATTGCCATCCTTTACAGAAATAAAACAAACATTAATGAAATTTATATGAAACCACACAAAATTCCAAATAGCCAAAGCAATCCCAAGAGAAAAGAAGAAAAATGTAGTTATCACACTTTCAGACTTCAAATTATACTCTAAAATGATAGTAACCAAAAGAGTGTGGTAGTGGTATAAAAATAAACCCAAAGACGAATGGAATAGAACTGAGAACTCAGAAAAAACACATACTTACGTGGACAGTTAATCTACAATAAAGGAGCCCAGAGTACACAATGGACAGAAGAAAGTTTGTTCAACAAATAGTGTGAATAAATTAGTCATATGCAAAAGAATGGAACTAGACCACTATGTCATACAATGCACAAAAATTAACTGAAAATGTGTTAAAATTTTGGATGTAAGACCTGAAGCCATAAAATATAGAAGAAAACATAGGCAAAAAAATTCTGTGATATTGGCTTCAGTGATATCTTTGGGATTTGTTTCCAGCAACAAGGAAAGCAAAATCAAAAATAATCAGATGGATCTATGCCAAACTCAGAAGCTACTGGACAACAAGAGACAATATCAATAAAATGAAAGGACACCCTATGAAATGAGAGAAAATATTTGTACATCATACATTCAATAAGGAGCTAATATCCAAAATCTACTAAGAACTCATACAAATAATAAAAAAATTAAAAACCCAATATACAAATGGGCAGAATAGCTAAATAGACACTTTTCTAAAGAAGACACATATTGCTAGCAGGCTTGTGAAAAAATACTTATCATAATTTATTAATCAAGGAAATGAAAATCCAAACCACAATGAGATACCACTTCACACCTGTGAGAATGACCCATATCAAAAAGAACAGAAACAAGTGTTTGTGAGCATGTGAATAAAAAGAAATTCTTGCACCCTGTTGGTGGAAATGTAGACTTATCTAGTGCCTATGGGTAATAGTATGGAGTTTTCTCAAAATACTAAAACTAGATCTCTTATATGATCCATCAGTCCCCACTCCCTCTTCAGAGTTAGTTATTGTCCTAAAGTTTATCTTTTACTACATCTATGTATCAAATATTAAAGATGTTGGGAGGAAGCATCGGATGTATTTGTAACATTCTGTTTACTTAGAGACATATCAAAAATAAAATGGCAAAATATTACTGTCACTTAAATTTTGTATGTGAAGGGGAAGGGCTGTATTTTTTTGTATGTTTGAAATATTTAAAGGAGGGGCCTCCCTGGTGGCCTAGGGGTAAAGTATGAGCGCTGTCACCCTACTGCCTGAGTTCAATCCCTGGCCAGGGAGCTAGCCTACATATGGCGCAGCAGACCTCTCCTATCTTGCCCGCTGCTCCCCTTAGCAGTGTATTTCAGTAAATCCATCTGTTCTTCTCCCCGCTCCTCTCACCCCCTCCACCTCTGGCCTACTCCTCAGTTCTTCTACAAAATATGTAAATAAATATTTTTTAAAAGAAGAAAAAATATTTAAGGAAATGCTAACATCACTTGACAAACAGAATCTACCCATGAATATAAAATATATTAACAAATTGTAAGGTTTGTGTGTATGCCACTTAAAATTGTTTTATATGCCTTTTGGGAAACAATAACCTAAGATGGTACAAATTAGCAACTGCAGCTGTCAACCCAGACATTTTCATCAGCCGGTCTTTCCCCCCAGTGTCATGAGTACAGCAAGTCATCATCTTTCTCTTATCCCATCCACTTCCACTCATTACTGAAGGACTCCCATTTTCAAAGGCCTCCCATAAGTACCAATCTTGTTGAAACCTGTTAGACTTGGTAGTGTTGGGTGTGCATGATTCTCTGAATTATCAAGATCAGGTTAAATCATGCTCATTAACTTCTATTGGAGAAGGTGTAGAAACATACTTTTTAGACAAATTTCCATAAGAAAACAGTCCAAAAAAAGGGAAATACGACTCATCTAATGGAAAAAATTATACAATACTTCCCTGGCAGAGGCGATACTATGATCACAAAGGTGGTTTTCCCAGGGCGAGGCTTATCCATTGCACTCCGGATGTGCTGACACCTGCGATTTCCCCAAATCACTCAGCTGCATAATTTGTAGTAGCGGGGGACTGTGTTCACACACTCCCCTGTAAAAAAAAAAAAAGGGTTGGAGAATGATACAAAACACATTTCTCAATAATGTCAGGTAAATGAAGTACTAATAAAAATAAACAAACCATTGTTAAAAATACTTATAACAAATTAGTATAAAATTTACTTTTTAAAGAATTTTGAACTCTTCAATTTTTTCATCAGTTGATTGTAACTTTGTTGTTTCTCAAATGATTCTGCAAACTGTGTAGCTCTGAGAAACAGTATGAGCACAGACTGGAGTCAGATTGCCTATATCCCACCTATGGTGAGGATTCAGTACTTGATAAATGTTAACTCCTATTATAACATAACATTGTTTTTTAATGTTTCACTTGTTCTATAAGCCATATTTCTTTTAAATTAAGAGAGGTAGGTACTAAATTAAATCTTTGTTAATCATAATTCCTGTAATATATCAAAGTTTGCTTGGTGTAGATAGCCAGAGAAAAATTTTTTCTACTTATAATACAATTTTTTTTTTTACCATTTCCTAACAATTCCACTAGAGGTATTTATGCTTGTCAATCATGATCTGGGGCAGTTTGAATAAACTTGATTATTGTGAATATCTGTACTCTTATTAAAGTGTATTAGAGTTGATTGCATCTTTATCTTACTAAACTCTTTGCTGAGTCATTCCTTCTAGGACTGAATGCTATTTTTAGTACTGGATCGTTATTCTCCTTTCTTATCTGGGATTGTATCTTCCTGGCACACATTAAGGGCAAATGTGAAGAGCTGTCCTGATGCATTATTCAGAAAATCAAAGTCTAAAGTTAGTTTATATTAAATACAATTGAAGTTAGATTGGAAAGATGCAATCTTTCTGTGTGAGCAAGATTTTCTATAAGGGAAAGAATTTCCCATTTTTATCACTTGTTATCTATCATTTTAATGTTGAAAGCACCAGATTTTTTGTCAGACTATAAGATAGTTTTCATCCACCTAAATTTTTAATTTCTTTAATGCTTAATTATCATTTATGTGGCTCATGAGGTAGCTATAATTTATATTCAAAATATTATTCTTTTTCCTTTTATTTTTGTAGATAATTTAGATAGCATTCATTTGTATTACTTTTAATTTAAATTTAACATTTTAGCTTTTGTGGTGAACATAAAAATTAATGAGGAATGCAGGATAAGCAAGGATAACAGCTGACCAAAGGTATGGGTTTCAGGGAAGTTTAGGGCTTTGAAGAGTAAATTGCATGGGAGGGCTGCCCCTTCACACAGGTAAAAGGGCTGGCTGAACTGTTATTCTCCCACATCAGTCAATAACTATAGGCCACCAGTATCCTGGTGATTAGGTATCCATATATCCATGTTGAAGACCTTGTGTTTTTTCTTTGACCACCTCAATACCAAAAATATTTGATCCTATTTCTCCTTCACCTATTATCAGCCAAGTACAGAGCTATTTAACTCAAACTCCAGTGTAATTATTTCTGATCAGAGCTGACTTCCTCCAATTTCTTTCTTTCTCCTACCAAATCTGACTTCACCTTCACAAACACTTCTGTTTTTTCCCCACCTGCTTTCTCTTCACCCCTCTATTCACACTCCTCAGTATCACTTACTTCCACTGCCAGCCTGAACAACATGACCAACCATGTCACTCAAGTCCTCACTCTGCCATTGATTTATGCCCATATTCATTTGCATAGACTCCTCCAAACAGAATGCCAATTTCATATTCGTAGCCTGAAAAACTCCTACCCAGCTTTCAAGAACTATCTAAAATGCCATTTCATCTGTGAAGATCTCTTTATTTCATTTATCCAGGAAAAGGTACCTGAAGTAGGCATTTGCATCCATTTTACTTTCTCATTATCTCAATTTCCTTTGGAGGAATAGATCTTCTCCAACTGATATATCATTATAGGTGGTAATGAGAAGCCTCATCTTCCCTGAATAGACTTATCAGACTCATCCTGGAGTCTGGAGCAGAGTAGAAAATCCTAAAAGTATTGAATTTCAGATCCTCCCATGAGTGGTATCTGACTCTCTACTTCCAGAGACAACTTTGTTCCTGACTGACCCCACTGATTCTTTTGAGTCTTCAACAATCTCCCCATATGTTCCTTTTGCTTAAGCCAATTAGATTAGTTTTCTGTTGCTTAAAAAACAATGAATGCTCCTATACTCCACAGCGCCTAAACTGTGACATTGTAGTTTTTGGTAGACATATATGTCTCTTTGCCAGATTGAGACAGCATCTTGATCATCTTTATGAATACAATATCTAATACTGTGTCTAATGCATGGTAAGTGTTCAATTCATACTGATGAAAATGAATAAGTAAATGCATGAATTACAGAGAACAAGTTGTCTATAGTTCTCCTCCTCAATATCTGAAATAAGCAAGTGGTCCATTTTTGTTCCAACAAATTGCTTTTACCATTATTAAACAAGAGGATTCTGCATAAATTCCAAAATAAAAAATGATAGTGATTGAGAAATAAACATGATCAGAGGAAATTAATGAAAAAAGAGTCAGCAAGAGAAGGCATAGAGGTGAACTGCATTCAGGGATTGATTGCTGGACAGATGGAAGGACTATACTGACTACTTAAAGTTCTTGTCAGAAGTAGCCTATGTATACATTTTTCTAGGCATTAGCTGCCTGGAATATCAGATGGACAGCATCTGAAGACCTTGGGGAGCCCACAGAAAATTACATCCCTTCCTACATGTTGAAGATAGCCACTGCTTTGATGAGAAGCTGAGTTTGTGGATAATTCAAACTTGATTTCCAAGCTATCCAGGGTTGGCATTCATGCAAGGGCTTTTATAACAAAATACCACACTCTAGGTGGTGTAAATAGCAGAAATTTATTTTCTCACAATTCTGGAGGCTAGAAATCCAATATTGAGGTGTTAGTAAGGTTGATTTCATTTTAAGGTTTCTCTCCTTGGCTTATGGATAAACACCTTCTCACTGGGTCCCTGCCCAGTCTTTTCTCTGTACCCCCATGCTCCTGGTATCTCTTCATCTTTTTTTAAGGATGCCTTAATGTATGTTAAAGATACCCTAATGGGATTTTAAAAGAGCTTATGTATAAATAAGGTTATATTCCGAGGTATTGGGGGGTTGAGACTTCAACATCTGCATTTGGGAACAATCCAGTCCACAATAGAACAAAATCAGATATGGAGTAATGAAAATAAGATTGAGGAAGTCATGAAATGTCATGAGCTCTCCAGAAATTGTGTCTCTGACAAATACTTAAATATAAATTCATCTAGTTGGAACATTTTCCATACCTGTTATCTTAAACAGAATTCTGGTACACCTACTCTGCTCTCTTTTATAGATGATGTTCATCCCCAACACTTTTTTCAATCAACCTAAAACCCCTATCAGGGCAGAATAGGCATCCACTACTTGATTGTATAGAGAAGTCCATTATATCAAGTTCACAATGGCCTCCTCAAATCATTTCCTGTCTGTGCGTTCCCCAAACTGTGGGGAAAAAATAAATCATAAAAAGGGAATAAAAGTACTGCCACATAAGTTTTATCTGATAATTAAACCATCTATAAGTAAAGAAAATTTATATTTCAGTCATCTGAAAATAAAAACAAGAAATACAAATAAAGGTAAAAGCCATGTGTAGATATCTATTGTGTAAATTATTATTTATATATGTGTTTATATACATTATATATGCATATGCAGAGTCAGCCTTTCAAAATGTATTCTCACTCTTTAAAAGCACATTAACAGGAGGAATTCCTATCCCAAATATAGATCAGTGTTAGTATATTGATTGGAATATTTGATGTATACAAAATAATCATAAATGGGCTTTTAAGTTAAAAAAATAATTTAAAAAAGAAAGTAGACAACGGTGACAGCTTGTCACGAAGAAGAGAAATAAGAACAATTTGAAGATCTTTGTAGTCTTGTTAAAGAGGCATCAAATCCGGGACTGCCAGTCCTTTAAAATGACTTCAGGTTTACATAATCAGAGATTTTGCTAAGAATCATAATGGACTTCAAGAAGCACTGTGATATTGTGGAAGGGGTTGTTGGGGGGAAGTTGGAGGTTGTATGTGCTGTGGGAGGAAAGGAGGAACTAAAACTGATTCATGAAGCAGTTTTCACAAACCGTAAACTGGTGATAATGTTTTGGATATTGTGAAGTGTTACATAAATGTTTGAGAAACATCATTACTATAGTAGGTAAAATTCCATTTATTTTCATTAAATCCTATAAAATTTACTCTGAGCACCCAGAGTATGGGAGCTATGTGTCTTCCTTATAGTCTTAGGTATGCTCTGACACACCTCCTCTGCCCCCTTTTATTCCTAATGCTCATTCCCAAAATTTCTCAGTCAGGCTAGAAAATTCTCTGGGTCTGTGGGAGAAGAAGGGAGGCTTAGAGCAAAATTTTCAGGGACATTATCTCTTCCAATCCTAGATGCATACCAGTTAGCTTGGCGATATCTATTGCTTAGGTTCTGATGTTGTCTTGGAATTTTATGGCTCTGAGACATATGCTCAGACTTACACTCAGACAAGAGTGTCTGATTGCTGAGCCTGTTGTCTAATGTCCTGCCTTTTATGACATTCAAGGCAACCCCTTCCCTGGAAGACTTTGTTTCCTGCCTTCTGCTTGCAGAACTTTGCATCCAGGGTAGGAATATCTCTTTCCATACTACCATCATAAGCATCTCTCTTATCTCCTCCACCCTCCATACCCTTTTACAATAAACAGGAAGAGGTTACTTTTGTAGGCATCTCTACCTTCTGATCAAAGGCAAGGTAACCATCTTAACATGCAGAGGTTTAAAAATAAGTAAAGAGAAACCCAAACTAATATGCCAACCTTTTATACCAGCTCATAATTTTTAAAAGGTAAAACATAAAAATAGTGTCATTTTCCTTTTTCTACTTTTATAGTAAATAATCAAGCACAGAAAAATTTCACAGATGAAGGAGACCAACTATTTAATATGGGTGCCAAGATTCTCCAGCAGTCTAAAACCCAAAAGCAAAAAGCACAGTAAGTATTTTTTCCAGTTACTTAAGCCAAGTTAAAATTTCCAGGTTAAGAAAAAAAGAGCAATCCAAAATCTAGTCTGCCACTGAAAGTTTGTTGGTATAACAAATAAACTTATTTGTCCATAAGCTTGTTTTCAAAAAGGATCAAATGGTGTTTAGAGAATCTTAGAAATAGAGCTGTTTGTGAAACTGTGGTCCGTACATATTTAGTGAATTGCAGAATTAAGGTACCTATCTGAATTTTCAAATAAAAATATTCACTTTTGATTTTAATTTATTAGCTATTTCAAATGATATAAATCTAACTGAGCATGTATATAGTACTTTATTATTTTCAAAGTACTTGCATGTATGTGATTCCATTTTAACCCTGAAATAGATTTATGAGTTAATAAAAATTTCATGTCTACCTGGATGTTATTCAGTCTCAGGCTATTCTTGTCCAAGATATCCTGTTCTTGTCTTTGCCCAAAAGACCCACTTATTTTTGCAGTGGCATAGATACACAAGATGTATAAAGATACATAAAGTTGAATCTCCCTTCTCTTCTGAGTTAGTAGCAATGAAGAATTGAAAACAAATCTGCTCATAGCAAGAGACTCTAGTTTTTTGTAAACAAAGGAGGTAAAATTTCTTCAGCTATCAGGATGGTCTGCTTCCACTTAGGCCAATTATAACTAATAGCCATCTCTAAGATCCTGGTCAGAGGAGAGAAATATACATACCTTATTGACCAAAGAGATATCATTTCATTTCCATTCATTTCTCTATCCTACCCACTCTATGTTACCACTTCTCAGGAGGAAAGAGCTTCAGTTACAGGCACTACTAACCCTTCTGACTCATTCTCATCAACATCCTAGCCCAATTCATTCATTCATTTAGCATCTTATGTATGAGGGTGGAAATTGTTGAACAAGTCAATGTTGTTAGAAGTACAGATGTTAAACAGGCAAATGGCAGGGAGACAAAATATTTTTCCAAAGGAATCAAGATGCCTCCATGACAGCCAGGATTAGCTGTAATTGAGAATAGTGCCCCATCAGCAGAGAAAATGTGGAGATAAGCACCTGTTCTACACCCACTTTTGATGTGTCCTAGAGAATCCTTTAGCTTTACCCTCCTCTAGCATCCAATGCCAAATCCTACAGAGATGATCTGCATACCTAACTAAACTTTTTTGTTGAAAACTGACCCTGCTGCATTTCCCCCCACTTTTTCTTTCTTGGAGATTGTAGCCCAAATCTTAATCCCATGTAATATACCAACAACTGTCTTCAGTCCTAGGCCCTGCTTCTGGTATTCCTTATGTCACCTTGGACTTTCCCACACCTCCTTTGGAAGCAAAGACACCTAGAGGAATTTGTATAGCAGCCTTTTGTTGCCCTCAGGGACCAGTAATGGGATATACTGATAATCTCTGCAGTTTATTCAGGTTTCTCTGCCTGGGTCCTCTATGGTACACTTCTAGGCCCAGAAGGCTATGTAGTTGCTGCAGCAAGTCTTGTCACAGAAGCGCTCCAGGGATTCTGTGTCCTGAAGTTCTGCTTATACTTGCATCCCAGACATTTGCATTCCTTGACCTTTGTGAACTTCCATTGTATTATTTGCCTTCTAGTCCCCAGAACCTCAGTTTGCTTAGTTCATGATTAATTTGTTACTTGACCTTCTTGCTTCCTCTTGTTCTACTGAAGTCTACTCTCTGTTTGGACATCCAGAACCTTAATGCCTACGTGGATGTTACTCAGTCTGTGGCCCATTCTATTTTGCCCAAGAGCAGCTTATTTTAGCATCAGCATGGATAGGCAGTACAAAGAGCTGAGATTCTTGATCTTTCTGGTTTGTAGCAATGGTACATTGTGTTTTTGTGGGAATAAAAACATATTTAAGTCAAGGTCACGAGCAGAGGTTAATGCTTTTTTGGTCTTACTATTACCAAAAAAGGAAGTTATAAGAATAAAAATAAATTTCCAAGTACTCTCTGTCCATGACACATATTTTGACCTTATAAGATTCTTCAACATTACTTGTTATACAGTCAGGTGCAGAAGACTTCTGGCCATGACTCAAAAAATTCAGTGGTAAGGCTATCCCACGACATTTATATTTTCAATCACTAAATTTATATATCATCTACCCACTAGTTATGAGAGAATAACTGCCATCCTCTAAAACTTTACAAATATATGTACTTTTCCTAATAATAACAATAGCTAGGTTTATTGAGTGTTTACACTGTACCATGCACTATGCCAAATACTTCATTTGGATTAATTCATCAAATCTTCCCAGCAATTCTATTAAGTAGGCACTATTATTAATCTGATTCCATAGATGAAAGAGGTATAGAGGAGTTATATAATGTATGGAGACAAGATTTGAGGCCAGGTAGTTAGAATCTGCTACCCTAATCATGATAAAAGGTGTTGTTTGGTTGTTGTTTTTTTACATGGACTGGATTTGTTGTGCTGAAGATTGGGTTCTGTTTTAGAAAGTTATTTTGGAATATAAAGTTACCATTGTTCTCTTGATAGTAAGTTTCAGTATCTGACATTTCAGTTTTGTTTATTTTTGGGTTGATTTTGATTATGTTGTTATATATGTCAGAGTTCATTTTATAAAACAAATATAAATAATGTGGATTATCATAAGATAATTCACTATTTAAGGACAAGTGCCTCAATTTTCCACTTCATTTGGAGCATTAGCATGAAGCATAATGCATCCTGTATATGTTTCCTTTTTATAGTTTTATGTTTTATCAAGTATATTTGAAACCATAACATTAGACTGATCTAGGAATGAAAATAATCTGCTGATTTATATATGTAATGAACTTCAGCAAGGCTGTATTGTTAATAGCAATAATAATTGGGTCTTAAGACATTAGAAGTAGCACAAAGAAGGGAACAGAAAATTTCTTTTTTAGATAATCAAACTTCTAACTTCATATTTTTGAAACAGAGCCTACATTTTCTTTGCCAAAGCAGCTGACATGGGAAACTTGAAAGCTATGGAGAAAATGGCTGATGCTTTGCTATTTGGAAATTTTGGCATGCAAAACATAACAGCAGCTATCCAATTATATGAGTTCTTGGCTAAAGAAGGATCATATCAAGCCCAAAACGTGAGTTTTGAAAGAAAATTAAACCTTAAATAGCTACATCCTGAAATAACTGTAGACAAATAACATATGCAAGGAGTTAAGCAATAGTATTTTAGTATCATACACTCTAATCTGTGAATCTAGAGTCATAATACTATTCATAATAACAGTGTCAGGGCAAAAATGCAGTGAGAACCCTGGGCAAATTCTTCTATAGCTATACAGATGACATTCAGGAACAAAACAGAGCTGCTCTCTAATTTCCTTTCCCATCTTCCATGTGTACGTGTGTTTTGAAATATTTGAGAGCCCCAATCCATAAGAAATAAATTCCATATAAGATATATTCACCTGTCCAAAAAAATATAGAATAGCACTGGCTGGTGTGACCCTCACAGGAGATCTGCTTCCGGAGAGGGGAAAGAGTTGGGTGTTTTTATTTCAACTTAAGAGGTAGAGTCTATAATGTAGACATATCAAAAGGCTGGATGCCTGGAAAACATGATGAAGCAAGTACATTCAGAAAATGGTTTAATATCCCATACATCTTCCATCAACATCACTGGAGGTCAGATGATTACTCACATACCTGCATTATTGAATGTGGGTGGCCAAAAAGCATGTGGTATCTTCAGAGTCAGGAGAAGGAGGGTAGAGCTGAGAATAGCAGTGGCAGTATGCACAACAGCTGTTGGTCACTCAGGAGCACAGAACAGAGAGTAAAGTATGGATGGGGGGCAGCACATGTTTCTAGAATTACTGCACATATGGAGCAGGGAGGATACACACCCCACCCCTGCTGAAACTGGAGGCAGTGGTTGGATTTTGAATCCCTGGGAATTCTCAGAGCCCCACCCCCTTCCCTAGGAGAAACAGGGAAGCTTGTTCCTAGCACAGCAACCCTCAACTTCTACAATCTACAAAACCTGCCCTACTTCCCCCTCAACTGCTAATCCACTACAACTGGAAGAGCGCTGTCTACTATAATGAAGATTGACTGCTGGGTGAACATGGACTTGAAATATCTGGGGCCACTGGCACCTAGCTTGGCATTTGGAAAGGCAACACCCCCTCCTCTGCCTGAACTCTGGGAGTTCCCTAGATCTAAAAATGGGCTAGCACTGCCCATTCAAAAGAACACTACTGCACATTAGTTGAGTCAGTATTCCTTGGACTACTAGCAGCTATCTTAGAAGTCCCGAAAGGCACCCAGTCCTCCACTCTGACATACTGGAATTGTGTGTGGGGGGAGGGTTCCCCTCAGCTCTTAGCCTACTAAACATCAAGCACTGCATTCCTGCCTCCCTGAATCACGATAACTGCTGGGTGGACCTGGAACTAAGATACCTGGGGTTGCAGGCAGATAATTTGATGGTTCTAAACGGCACCCCCTTCTTCCTTGCCCAGACTTGCAAGGCTTTTCTGAACAACTAATACACCATGGCCAGTTCAGCACCACCTACTATAGACTGCTGGCAATTAAGTAGGCAGTTCTGCAAGACTCTTACTCCTCTCCTGCCTGGACTTTCAGAGCTTCCAGTGGCTCCTAGCATACTGCGGCAGTATAAGTGCAGGCCTCCCAGAGAGATCATAGATTGCTGGGTGGGGCACTCGTCTGACCACTTGCAGCTGCTAGCATCTAGTGTGAAGGTCCCAGGAAGCACCAGCCCCACCCTGTCTGGGCTTGTCAGGCATATGGACAGCCTAACTACTATGTAATCTGTAACTTCTCATGGTAACTGCCTATGACCCAAATTCACAGCCTCTTGCCATACTGCTTGAACCAGAACCTCAGTGGAAATGTACTGCCAGCAAAACCTGCTAGATCAGAACAGAAGGGTCAGTTGCCATTTGGGCCTTCTGGGAAAGCACTGGTATTTTTCTGCCTTGACAGATGATGATTAGAGATCCCTCCCTTATCTCAAGTGGCTATAGCAGCATCAAGATAGGTTTTTGCACGGTAATCTATTGCAGCAACCTTCCCCCACAACATATCTGGTTTTTACCCCACAGGTAGGGTCTTCAGGCCAGTACCCCATGCTTATTTGTGAGGTCCAGTCAACTTCTGATTGGTGACAAAGTTTCTACTGATACAATAACAGAAAACCCAGTATCCAAGACCAACACCCTAGATTTGCCATTCTAAAGTAATACGGTCACAGGAGGACTGGGAAGGAAAGCAATCTAGCTTAATCCAAAGAAATAATCATAGAGCATCAAACACAATCAGGAGGCAGAGGAGTTCTCCCCAATCAATGGATAATGACAACACCCTAGGGAAAATCCCTAATGCCACAGAATTAAATGACCAGAATAAGACTTTAAAGCAATCACAGACATTAGGAATGTAACAGTTGAAATTAAAAAACAACAACAACAATAACAAAGGGCCTCACCATAGACTCAATAAGGCAAGGGAATGAATCAACAAGATGAAAGACAGAGTAGTAAAGTCATCCAAAAAGACCAGCAAAAAGAAAAAAGATTTAAGAAAAATGAAGACATTGGGGCCTCCTTAGTGGCGCAAGTGGTTGAGACGCAACCTGTGAAGCTATCCGCAGCTACTGCAGCACGAGTTCGATCCCCAGTCAGGGAGCAACCCACATGGCGCAGCAGACCTCTCCTGGCTCACCCACCGCTTCTCTCAGCAGTGTATTTCAGTAGATCTGCCTGTTCTGTTCCCTACTCTGTCTCTGGTGAATCCTCTCAGTGCCCCCCCCCACACACACACCCCTCTGGCCTGTACTCCAGTTCTTGTATGCATAAATAAATAAATCTTTTTTAAAAAAAGAAAAATGAAGACAAGATAAGAGACTACAGGGGCAACAGCAAGAGGAACAACATGCCTATCACAGAGGTTCCAGAGGAGAGAAAAAGGGGACAGAAATCCTGTTTGAAAAAGTAGCTAAGACCTTGCCCCAACAGGGAAGGAAAAGTACATCCAGATCTGGTTAACTCAAAGAGTTCCAAACAAAGCAAACCCAAACAAATGTACACTTAGACACATTATAATTAAATGGAAATAACTAAAGATAAAAAGAGAACCCTTAAAGTAGTCAGAGAAAAACAAAAATCCACATAGAAGGGAACCTATAAAATACTATCATGAGGTTTCTCAGCAGAAATCTTATAGACCAAAAGGGAATGCTATGACATTTTCAACATGCTGAAAGGAAAAGATCTCCAACACTACAATTCCACACAGTATGAGAGGTTCTAATCAGAGCAATTAGGCAAGAGAAAGATATAAAATGAATCCAAATTGGGAAAGAAGAAATAAAACTATAGGAATTTGCAGATATCATGATTGATAATATACATATATATACATGAAAATATACATATATGATAATATACATAGTATACATGTACACAAGCTAGACCCTTGAGTCTAGACGTTCAAGACCTAATTTGGAATTCACACTGTGACTTGCTTATTAGATGGGTACATAACGTAACTTTCCCTCCTTGCACAAATAACAGCTAAAACAATTCTATATTACATAAAATGCAGTTAAATACTGGTTGCTACTATTGCCAAGCCACCCTATCCACACCATATTGATCAGAGCTCTGTAATAAGGTTGGCCAAAGTGACTACCACTATTCTCACACTGTTTGTCCCAACCCGTTACACATATCCTGCCTGTATGGGTATAAAATGTTGCTGGAAACTGTGAGGACAACGTAGCAACAGAAATATGGCTAAAGAAGCTACAAATTGTATTTTGAGAATAATAATGAAAGAGAAAGAAAGGAACACAGATAGAAGAAAATGATCATATATCAAGGTGGGGAGAAAAGCACAATAATAATACTGAAATGTACTAAATGGGAGATTGGTCAGGGTCTCGTGGCAACCTGAATTATCACAGAAAAACAAAGAGAATATGAATTCTGATTATAAAGTAGAATTGAAGGTTGGGTAAAGAATTGTAATTTCAGGCTATGCATGAAGGGAAGCTGGATGAAATAAAAAAGGTATAATTATTTCTTTTCATGCGCATTCAAGATTCATCTCACAAAAATCCAAATAAAGTGAAGGAAATCCTGATGAGAACAAAAATTCAATTAAGGTTATGAACAGAATTTATTGAATTTATTGTCAAAGAATATGTCCCTTTCAAATACAAAAAGAACTATTAATTAATGGAGCAATCTTTATAACAATGGTAGAAATTGAGGAGATAGTAAACAAGAGATATACCCAAGACCAGGGCCTATAGATATTGTACTATGCCAGTAGGAGGTACATAAATTATGTATTTTTCTCTTAATCTTGTTCAGAAAACAAACATTCAAAATAAAAAATTCTTTTTTCATGATGTCAATAAACTGTTTCAATAGGAAACTTATCCGTTAATTTGCCAAATAGGAAGGAAAGGTTAAACTTCATTAGCTTTAAGAATGAAGAAATATTATAGTTATTCTTTTTCCTGGTCCCTTATTTAGGTTTTCTAAACTCCTGCTATGAGTGAGACCATCTGGTATTTTTCACACTAAGGGGGGTGGGAGTGTGGAGGGGCAAGGAGAGAAGGGATTGGGGTCAAAATAAAGGGGGTGCAATTGTATGGGAAATATAATCAAGATGAAAATGCATACATTGTGCAAAAATGAAAAATGATGTAAGAAATATATTTTAAAATTTTAAAAAAAGAATCAAGAAATACATCTTCCATATTGTATCAGCATAAAACTTAATTGTGGTAATCTTTAAATGGTGGTATTAATTGTAGCTGTTTTTCTTTTTAAAATTCCTTCTAGGCTTTTTCTCTAAAATTTCTATTCATGGGTATCTAGTGCTTTTGATATCAGAACAAAAATATTTAACTTAGATGCCTGTACAAAATAATTTACCATGTATTATAAGAAAATTCATTATTTTATTTATGTAAATATAGCTAACTGATATATAGAGGAGACGGGTGTGAGTACATGCAGCTTTAGCATTCTTTGTGATTCTAGAATAATTTTATCTCACTGGCAATGACTTCTTCATTTATTTCAGATTTGAATTATAC